ATTTGTTTGATTTAAGTTATATACATAGTTACATGTACCTTGAGGCTCAAATAAACGATTGAAATCTGGGCTAAGAAGGTCTAAAGGAGCAAAGGAGAGTACCCATCAATGCCAGTCGTCGGTATTACTGTCCGAGGCCGACTTGACCAAGGCTTTGTAAGTAGGAAAGAGATATTTTATGTTACAAACGTAAAGCGATTTGTCTTAAATCTCCGTCGAGATCATGTTTTGTAAGTTTACTATTAATGTTATACGTTACATAACAGTTTAAGTATTTGGGCGACCCACACAAATGTTCTTTTCGTTGGTGTTTTTTTTATGTAATACGTCGGCAAACGAGCAGACGGATTACCTGATGGTAAGCAATCAGCGCCGCCCATGGACACCCGCAACGGGGGAGTTACGAGTGCGTTGCCGACCTTTTAGGAATTAGGGTTTTGGAGATTTAGGGATTGGGGAGGGATCGGAGGAGGGGAAGGATTGGGCCTTCGGTAACCTCACTCACACGGCGAAACACAACACTGTGGTTGTTTCACGCCGGTTTTCTGTGAGGCCATAGTATCACTCCGGTCGAGCCGACCCATTCGTGCCAAAGCATGGCTCTCCCACACTTGGTACCTATTATTCGGACAATTAAGCAACACCCGTTGGTTAAACTAATAATTGTCAATGAAAGTCGTGAAATCTGTTATCCCCAAAAGGCGCCGGCAACACACTTCCAACTCATCGTGTGTTGCTGTCATTGGGGGCATATCGATTGCTTATATTGCATCGGGTAATCCGTCACCACAAAATAATTGTCGCCGAAAAACAAAGATATTATTATAATTCGACATACAACAAACACTATAAGATTTATCCTGTTACTATCTTGCTGCGATGTTAACATGAGGCTATTTTCGAAATCCTAAGCCCCTAATCCTTAACTTGGTTATTTGTTGGTGTGGAATATTAAAAAATGTACGTAATCGAGTCAGAAATTGATTACATTTTCATCGTGGACGTGTCACTGACGGCCTTAGGGCAGTCGCAACGCTGCTCGCGCTAACAAATTGCCAGCTAAAAAGCTGGCAATTTGTTAGCGCGAGCAGCGTTGCGACTAAACGTGTCTAAAATTCACGATACATTTTTTTTATAAAAAACAGTTTAATAGATGCTGTTTTTTGCTATAACCGACTCGTATTAAAAATGCAAATGTTTATAGGTAAGGCTAGTCAAATGTTTGTAACTCGTTCACGTGAATTGTATTGAAAGGAACTGAATGAAATTTAGTATAGAGATAGATAATAGATATAGCCTAAGATTAACCCTTGCGAAGCTGCTGATTATTAAATATATATATATATTTTTTGTATGTAATAGATCGTCAAACGAGCAGACGGATTACGTGATGGTAAGCAATCAACGCTGCCCATGGACACCCGCAACGGAGGAATTGCGATTGCGTTGCCGACCATTTAATTATTAGGGATTTGGAGATTTAGGGATTGGGGGAGGGTAAGGATTGGACCTCCGGTAACCTCACTTTACAGCGAAACACAACGCTGTAGTTGTTTCACGCCGGTTTTCTGTGAGGCCGTGGTAGCACTCCGGTCGAGCCGACCCATTCGTGTCGAAGCTTGGCTCTCCCACACTTAAAAAAATGCCTCATTTATGTACTTTTATCTATAAGTATCTCAGTCTGTATTACTTTGTATAAAGATTTCGAGATGGTTGACCAACAGGATTGAATACGCTTGAAATGTATCGAAAGAATTTTCTTGACGGTAGTAAGATATTTGTACCAGCTGCCGATACATATATTTATAGATATTACAACGCAAAGCGATGTCCTTCCTCTCTGAATATAAATAAAGCCTTTTGAGATCAAGACCTTCAATGTACCTTGGGATGAAAAATAAAAATTGATGTTCTTTCTATTGGAATAAAGTTCCTTCCTCGAAAGGGAAGGAAAGGAAAAAGGTAGGGAAGGAAAAAATCATACGAAAGGTTGTATGTAATACTTTTTGTTGTCGATCATCTCATCTCATTCTCAATCTCACTCTCTCTCTCTCTCTCTCTCTCTCTTTATTAAAATCAAAAACAAGCCACTTTTTCATCTTTCTATTTAGGATTAAACAGGCAGGTAAAAGGAACTTCGTTCCATCCAGGTGAACCTTCACAATGCAATATTTTTAATATATTTCTTTCTAAAATTTTGAAATTTGTCAATCATCTCTGAGCTCTCTCTCTATCTTGTTGAGTGTCTAAACTAACGCTCACAAATAACGAATATAGAGTCTGGTATGACTAGAAAGTAGTCGAGCTTTTCTCGAATACACTAAATTTGTAATATTTCAATTAATTTAGATAAGAAAGTAAGAATTCAACATTTACATAATAGAACAGAGATATCGTCACGGAACTATAATTAGGTAATATTAGATTAATTACACCACTGCAGTTAATTGATTTGATTGTGTTAGGTTACACTTAGACTGCATTAATTTAATTAGGTATTGGGTACATAGGTTAATTAGTAATTAGGGCTTTCTCTCAGGATGTTGTCTTAGTATTTTAAAATGTCCTGAGCGTCTCAGAGAGCTATTAGACCATCAAAGATAGCGGCTATTAGGGCCAATGTTCAGCCTAAGTTGCGGGTAAGTACAAGCTCTTTAATGCACCGCAGCCCCGGAAAGAACCCCCCTGTATTCTTAAAGAGACATTCGATGATTTTCTCCCTTCAAAAAAGTTGTAGATTGTACTTAGAACTTTTTAGTAGTGTAATCAACTTTATCCGCCAGCAAAAAAGGACGTTATATTACCACCCTTACTCTGAACATGATGACTAACGTCCGAAATAAAACACCAATCTCAATTTTTGGCCTTCAGTTTAGGATCGATTTTGGCCATTAAGTAACTGTATTGGAGTATCTGTGAATAAAAAATCGGCATCGATCTAATAAATATATCTTATCTGGTAACACTCCTAGCCAGTGTCTAATAAATGAGCCCAGCCCAGCTTCCCAAAGTAGACGGGGATCGATCAATGATCTCCGGCTACCGTAAACGCGGGTCTGCGGACGGTGACCAAGCATAGCTTGTTGCCCGACCAGGACCAGACCCAAGTAAGTGTAAGGCGCGCCTTAAAAAGCCAATAGTCCACCCTACAGGGCTGATGTTCAGCCGGGGCTGCGGGGCAAGGTATCCCGGCCTCGGCCTAGAGTTTTGGGACGGGGGTTCCTTAGTCACACTCCCTCTCGGCCTCACCATGGGCAAGAGAAGTCTCAGAAGGCAAGAATTTCCTCTCACAATAATTACGGAACAATTAGTAATATCACACACGCAGACATCGCAAATATTGCGCAAGTTCCAAGAAAAATGTGTTTGTACACCGTTTAGCAATCTCATCTTATGAGGAGTGTGCTCCAGGAAGGAGCGTATCACGCAAAATGTTATTACTTTCCCTCGCAAGCAAATATGAACTCTGTTCTGAACGGTATACGACTGAAAAAATAACGCTTTCTTAAGGCTATGTTCTTTTTAAGTTCGTTATAAAAAATGGGCAAATACCTACACTTAGATATGTCGCAGTATGATAAATAAAATGAAGATTTAATGAAATCACTAGGGATATCACGAACTCTCAGTAAATATCGAATATTTTTGTTTAAGAGAACAAAATGTCTACTTAAAAACAATATTTACAACAATATAGGTACTTACGTACTTACGTCGTTCCAATTAAACTATGTAGATCTAGTAGAATGTGAAAACATATAACTCAAAGCTTTTCGCCTACTTTCTGGAATGTATTGAATAGTTTTGTAAAGATATTTAAGATTATTTCAAACAAAATACCGTAGTTGAAGTAACAGTAGGAAATTAAGAGAAACTAAGTGAGGGAGAGCCATACTTCGGCACGAATGGGTCAGTTCGACCGGAGTGATAGGCCCTAGCCTCAAAGAAATCCGGCGTGAAACGACCACAACGTTGTGTTTTGCCGCATGAATGTGGTTACCGAGGGCCCAATCCTTCCGCTCTCCAATCCCTAAATTTCCAAATCCCTTATCCCCAAACGGTTGGCAACGCACTCGTAACTCCTATATTGCAATATAGGATGCGATGTCGATGGGCGGAGCTGATCCAAGCACCTAAACTCTTCCTGAATAAGAATCTAAAGCATCAGCAAGAAAATTAAATAGATAATGCGGCTCGGTGGCTGGTGCCTCGGTTCACTCACTACATCCGCTCGGATCACGAGTTAAGGCCCGATTTAGGGAGACAGGCGCGACGCTCGTCTCATCTTGCGGTCCGACACGTACATTGCTGATGTGTTTGAGTTAGTGTACCTAGACGATGTCGCGCAACGTGTTCTCCTAAATGAAGGCTCACTAATTACGCTTACTCCGACTGTGTCGTCCGTACTTTACATTTCAATGAATCTCTGTATGTTTACCTACACTAAACATATAAACACGTGGCATTTTTCTTGAAAATGGAATATGGAAAAATGGAATGGAATAGCATAAGCCAAACATTATCATTGATACCCAACCCTAACATGGTTGGTAATAAAATTAATTTATAACACAAGACAATATAATATTTCCAAAAAATTTCTTTGCCAAAGTGTATATGTATACTTAATTTATTTAAATCATGTACATTTTTTCGTCGCAACTGAAAGACTCCTCTCACAATGCTCAAATGATAAAAATATTTGTTCATTCACAAATATTTTATATTATACATTTACTCAAGTTTAAAACGTATTCACCAAAATTAATTTCTAGTTTATCTTCTTAAATAAAGAGTTTCTAAACTAAGTTTCTTGATTCATTTATCACACGGTCTGATGATGAAGGTACCTACATCACAGCAAAATACTTTAATTAATTATTTAAGTAACAACACAAATGACTGGCATTATTTGAATGGCAGAATTTTTCACTCAGGCTGTAAGTTGAACACGGAGTTCCTACATACCTACATATTCGTTAGAAACTAGACAGGATTACCTGATGGTACGTGATCAACGCCGCGCGAATCACAAAAGGAGTAACAAGTTCATCACCGGCGCGCGGCGTTCTGTGGGTTGTTTTGTTAGGCATTAGAGCATTGACAATTTGGGGCTTGGGGGGAAGGATTAGGCCTCCGGTAACCCACACATTGAAGCACAACGAATGCATATTTACGGTATTACGGTATTATGGAGACCGTAGTATGTCTCATAATTATTCATCCTGGCTCTCCCACACTTGAAATAGATCTTCTAGAATTTTGGTGATTATGGTAAACCCTCTGAGTGTTTAGAGGAGATCCAGCATTGTCTCTTTCGTGGTATTGTTATTATTATATTTTATTGTAGGCTATTTTAAGTAAAATATGTACCTACTACTAGTGTCCCGGTCCGTGCTTTAGTACGTATAAGAAAAAAATAATTTTTTGTTTTTTTTTAGCTTTCTCTACGTACAAACCTTTTTTGGACTCCACGAATAATTCAAGATCAAAATTAGCCAAATCGGTAAAGACATTATTGAGTTATAACATTACAATACAACATTATAATACATAAAAGTCGCATTGATTTTTATATATGTATGTAGATTAAAATTGTTAACCACAGCACGTATTGTTATTACCATCATGAAGGCACGATGCATTATATTCCTTTCTACATATCATTAAAATAAATCATCGCTCACGTAAGCCTATTATTATTCTCCCCTTAGGACCCTTAGGACCCTCCTACCAGGCGTAGTCACCTCGCCTGGTCGGAGGGCCCTCCTTTTCGGATTCTAGAAAACTTTACTCTCTGGTTTCTAAACCTTTTATGCCTCAATTTTAAGTATTTGAACCAAATCCACAAACAAATTCATTTGAAATGTCTAGAAATTTACTTTCTTATTTCCAATATCTATTTGCCCAGCTGCAATGGTACATAAAATTGATGCATTTTAATCTGAGTAAAGTCTTTCTTAACAGAAAGAGCAAACGTTGGATTTTTTGCTTCCTGAACGCGATGGAACCTCTTTTTTCCGTCAACGAATCGCAAGAGCCTTTAATGTAAGCTTTTTTCACTGTTTACTGAAGACTTCTAATTTAATTATAGGTTTGAAATAGCTAATCCGCCGTAAGCAAGCGTTTTAATGCTCAATTCCCCTCCGTGAAAAGACGCCTTTGCCCAGCTGTGGGCACTTATAGGCTAATGATGATGATGTCATCAAGTGACTTAAGAGATTGATATTATTGATTATTCTGATTGAAATACTCTTGATGCATACAATTTTATCTTCATACAAACCTTTTGAACGTAGTGTAATGCCTTATGACCACAAATTTTCTAAAATAATATACCGATGCTTAGTTGAAAATAAATGCTATCTTTCTAGCAACACTGAAGTACGTGTTCAAGTGTAATTTGTATTACTTGATTTCACTACTGAACATCACGCACGTCCAATTTTCCAACAAAAATAACAGTGTTAGAAAACATAATACAAATTCTGACACAACTTGACTCAGTGTGAGTGTGTGTCTGGGATTCATTTCACGTTTTACAACGCAATTTAGTAATAAAAGAGAGGCGAGTTGAAAGATTAATGAAGGGCTCCAAAGTGCAGTCTGGCTCCACTACACAAAATTTGTTGTTATTTTTTGTATAAAAATTACGCTCACGTACAACTGATTTGTGATTGCGTCCACAGAAACGTGGTAAGTGTGGGAGAGCCATGCTCCAGCACGAATGGTACAGCTCGACCGGAGTGATACCACGGCTTCACAGAAAACTGCCGTGAAACTATCTAAGCGTTGTGTTTCACGGTGTAAGTGAGATTAGAAGCCCAATACTTGAAGGGAAAGATTTGTAAGATAAGTCTTAAACGCATCTCCGTGTACGCTTATGTCGCTAGCTACCCGACTCAAGCGAGGCTTTTAAACCCGTTATTGAATCTTACATTGAGTTTGCCTTTGTACAGGAAAGTCTTCAAAACTAACAATATACATTACTGTTTATCCTTCACTTCAAAACAATCTATGTTAAACGTCTTTCAAATATCCTAGGGCGAGTTTCGACGAAGAAAATACCAGATAGTAGTAGGTAAAAATCTCATTTGTACCTGGATTGCTTTAGTGGACTATAAAAGCGATGACAATGTTTTAGAACACGTGATTGTAACAATGGAGCAAGTTTTACGACGCGTCCATTGTCACTAGCAGGGCGGCTTGTGCTGGGACGCAATGAACAGACGTACCAATGCATGTTATGAACACAGATGCCATGTGTTAATGCACCAGCCTGCATTGTGTCGTAATTGATAGTAAAATACTTTTTCCAGAGGGACAAAATAATTTGTAGTTTTGTATTTATAAAATATGATCATTGCTAATGGCAATTTCATTGGCTGCTTACTGTAAATTGGTCTAATAAAATCAGAATTGTTTTTTAAAATTCAAAGGTATTCTCGTTTGTCACTAAACACTATAGACATTTGAATTATAAAGAATACCTCATGTGAATTAATTATTACTCTTTCATAAGTATATTTCTGATGAGAAAAAAATAGTAAAAAACTAAAAACCAACATGTCACCTCGCCATCATAACCACAAAGGTAGAGAATGCCTAAGGTGTTGAATCCGCCATTGTACACTGTGCAAGAAGTGTAAAATAAATAAAAAGTAACTAATATTCGCATTTACCGCTAACTAGTTAATAGTTTAGAAGTGTGAGCAGCGAATTGACTCTCTATTTGAAATGAGTCAAAAAAAAACTTACAGGATATAAGTAATGTGATAAAGACTACTTTCCAATGTGGTGGATGAAAACGGCCACCAAGCGGAATGTCGTTTGACAACAGACGCTTGGTTTCATGTTCATAAGGACATTCTCTCTACCTTTCTACTACCATACATTTAACCACTCTGTGACCAACACAACACTTTTCCTCTTAGGAAATGTAAAGTACTCTAAAGAATGATATAGGTGTATGGATTGGTGCGGGTTTAGATTTGTATGTCGTTTACTTTTCTTCTTTTATCACGGTTATACAGCAAGGGTCATTAGAAATCATGTAATGATGAAAAGAGTCAATAAATTGGTGCCTTACAATAAACATAAAAAAGAAGTAGATCGTCGGTTTTGGTGACTCAAAGCGCATAATTATTTTCTTAGTACTAAGACACAGTAAGCGCGTGATACAGGGGCGGGGAACGCAACGCACTTCCTTAAAGCCAATGGACCACCACACATTGGGCCCGCTATAACCGATTTCAAGCTAGCATAATGATGTACCGCGACCTGGCTCGGAACGGGAGAAGGAACGGAGTGATGTTTAGCCAGATACGCCCTTAACCCAGGGAGGTGGTGGTTTTTTTTGTGAGGGGAAAATCATCAAATGACTTCTCCCGCCCAGGGCCAGGCGGGAGGGAGTGTCAGACTCTTACTGACTAAAAACCCCCTGTTCCTTCTCCTGCTCTGGGCCGAGGTCGCGGTGCCTCATTGCGCTTACCCCGCAACCCCGGCTGAACATCAGCCCTATAGGGCCCCGTCTGTGGTGGTCTATTGGCTCTTTGAGGCGCGCGCGGAACGCTACGCGCCGTACGCTCGGGCCTGGTTCTGGTCGGGCGGCGAGATGCCCTTACTCGCCGACCGCAGACCCGCGCTTACGATGGCCGGAGATCATCTCTCGAACCCAGGGAGGTGATGAGATGATTTTCCCTTCCACAAAAAGGACGTAAACAAATGTTCCTTTATAAGCCCGCAATAGAGAACGAAACATATTACTGTACCTACTAAGTTCTGAAGTTCTTATACTGAAGTAAGAAGCTATTTAACCTGTGAGCTTGACTTTACAAACTCTAAACTGTCATACTTTATATACTTTATTATAATTAGTTTGCTTCTGTTTTCATTAAGGTGGCTCGGTGCATTAAAGTGTTCTCAACCAAGAAAATGCGGTCTGCTACTAAAATGCGAATAGTTTTTGAGTCGTAGATTATCATGCTGAAGCAAATGTGTAAGAATATTATAATAAAAATAAAGGAATGCTACAAACTTAATTAAAGATAACGTGTGGTTCTTTGGTGAGAAATTTTATTACTTAATTTTTTATGGGATTGGTTGGACATGGACACTGGTATTTCATAGGAGTTACTACTACTAACGACTTTTATGGTTTGGGGATTTGGGAATTGATGATGAGGAAGAAGGATAGGGCCTCCGGTAAACTTAATCACACGGCGAAACGTAAGTGTTTTTTATCAGCCGATATATTGTGAAGCCAATGTTCTCACCAAAGTATGGCTCTGTGAGAAAGATTTTCAATATTGACAACAAACTAGGTCGTATCTTAATTAATATCGTTATGAGTCATGGCCCAGAAATGACGTTGGGTTATATGTACCTTCTAAGAATTTTCAGACACTGTTGACATGCGAGGAAGGATAAAATCATGCGAAAACATTGCGCAGCGCCTGTTATGACACATCCTTGAGGCAAAGAGGCAAACTTCACAAACATTTTATCCTCATGCCTAAAGAAGATAAGTGTAATGTTCACATTTTTCCTCGTAGAAAGTTGCGAGTTAGACACGCGCTGAACCATTTCCGTCCTTATATTTGATCATTGGGGAATAATTCCAAGATAATTGCTATGTCAAATATCTCCTACACATAGACAGACATACCGTACCAATTTGATTGATTACGTACTGTATTTACTGTCAGTCAGTGGCTTTTAACAAATTGGTTTGTGTCATTCGAACTGTCTCTGGCACAGAGACAAATATTGTGTGTGTTTTTAATTAGAACTAGTTAGAAGTATTCTTGAAATATTTTTATATGAATCCAGGTTTTAAAATCAAACTTTTAGGATTTAATACATTCTCTTGTTTTTTTTTATGGAAAACGAGCAGACGGATTACCTCATAGCAGGCAATCAACGCCGCTTATAGACACCCGCTCCACCATAAAGGTAACGAGTGCGTTGCCGACCTTTTAGAGATTAGGGTTTTAAAGATTTAGGAATTGGGGAGGTTAAAGATTGGGCCTCCAGTAATCTCACTCATAGGGCAAAACACAACGCTGTGGTAACCAATTAACAACTTTTACGTTTCTATAACTTTGAATGATTTTCCAAGCAGATGGCTGGCAGCTGTATATTATACAAAGATATTCGTTGTCCGAAATGA